GGCTGTCAAATGGCTTTCCATTGAAAAATCTTGGTGATTTATAATCACCAAGAAAAGTCCTCATTCCCTTAGGTAAGTGCTGTCAAATCGTCAAGGATCAGATAATTCTTGTGGCTTGAGCAGTTCCAAGGTATAAGTGGAAAACTGCCCAATTTACTCATTAGCATCACCAAAACCTGACATAAATAGCACCCAAAGTAAAAACAAAAGAAAACAAATCAAATGAGAACAATTCGATTGATACATCTAAATATCAACATCTTAAATAAAATATTAATAAGTACAATCCAGTCAGTGTGTATAAAAATAATTAATTCAACAGAATTGTCCGGAATGGTGTTGCTCATGGTTTGGTGGCTGTGGAGTGGGGAGAGACCAAAAGCTTCCCTTAGCAGCTGCCTGGCCATGTTTGCTGGTGGTCGACTTTGGACTCTCCCGTCTCCATCACACTATTAGTAGCCTCCATGGCATTGGTGATTGCCTCCTGGTTGCCTCTGAAAAAAGGAACTCTGGATTTGGATTTTGAAAGTTGTACCCTGGTGCGTGAGGGCTATTTGAAGGTACCACACAGTAGGGGATGCCCCTGTCAGTTTGGGGAATTCTGAGGGAATTCCCATTTGTTTTGGATTGGATAAACCCCCAAGTGTTTATGAGGTTGTGGGCACTCCCAGGGCTTATCAGTTGAAATTGTAGTTTGTATATTTGGAACCTCTTAAGCTTCGTTTTATGTTGAGTGTTTATCTGTATTCGTGTATGCTTATAAATGTGGAGTCTGCTAAGCTCTTTTTCTCTATTTTCTTTTTGCTGTTGATGGTATTATTAGTGCAGTCCAAGGTCTTGGGGGTTGAAAGACATCTCTGATGGTAGTTTGTCTTGTGGCAGTTTCTTATATCTCAGCAACTCGACCTAGACCAAAACTCCCTTGCGGTTTCAAGAACAGGGTCTTACATCCAGGAATGGGCTTCTTGTCAAATCTGGGAATAATGTGATTAGAAAGAATCCAGACTCTCCCCAAAAGGTTTTCTTTTCTTTTCTTTTTTTTTTTTTTTTTTTTTTGAGACAGGGTCTTGTTTTGTTGCCCAGGCTGGAGTGCTGTGGTGCCATCAGAGCTCACTACAACCTCAAACTCCCAGGCTTGAGCAATTCTTCTGCCTCAGCCTCCCAAGTAGCTGGGACTACAGGTGTGTGCCACCACACCCGGCTAATCCCAAAAAGTTTTGTGATCAACAGAGCCTTAGTGATTCTAGATGGCTGGTAGGGTATTTAAGGGGTAGTGGGCTTATGGACCCAATTAGCTCCAGTTTACCTGACTTAGATGACAGGTTGTGGGAACTTTTGGTTTGAAGAAAAAGTTCTGTACTAGTGCCTGTGATGGTAACGATGATAATCACCATAATAATAGTAGTAAACTTCTAACTACTACAACAGACTGGAACTCTTGAGACATTCCTGGGCAGTCTGCTCCCTCCCAGAAGTTTCTCTGTGTAGCTTTCCTTGGGGGCTGAGCTCTGTTATAGAGATAGCTTGACAAGGAGAGAAGTGGAAATTTTTATCTCTTGATCCTCTCTTTAAAAAGACTTTTATATTATTATTATTATTATCATCATCATCATCATCATCATTGTCATCCTCGTTATTGTAGGGGTGAGGGGAAACTTGTCCTTTCCCCTGAAAGTTCGCTGAAAGATCAACTCACAGTTAAGAGAGATTAATAAGAGATAGGTTTATTTATCATTCTCATGGAGAGAATCACATAGAGCCATTACCCAATATCCCAATGAAGTTCACATATTTTTATATCTGTCTTTTTGGAGGGGAGGGGAAATGAGGAGTGCAAATAATTCTGTTTAGGGGTGACAAATGGTGTTAGGGAGGACAAATGGATGGGGGAAATAGATTGACTTGTAAATTAACCTGAGAGACAGGTATTATGTTTCAAATAATTTGGGCCAGGTCTAGTGCCTTCTTGATCTTTTTTTCCTGCAATATACTGAGATAACAGGGAGAGGAAAGGAAGTCAATTGCCCCCTTTGATCTTTTGATCAGGTCAGTCCAGTTTATGTAGATAGAGGGAAAGCCTCTTCCAAGGGTCTGTTAATCTCTAAGAGCCTTTAATTGAGAATACTGTATACCAAGAAGTCATATTTTGGGGTGAAATTTGCTGAGCTCTTTCATCATCATCTATAACATCCTGATCTGAACTGCTCTGGCACACCTGCCCCTCACCTATGCTCACCTCCCACTGCAAAGAAATTTGTTTCTCATTTCCCTGGTTTTGGCTCTTTCCAGAGCAACCTTTATTTTCTCTTCAGGGACAGCCACAGGAGGACATCAGAAGTAGAAAACCTGGATTTTTCCAAGCAGGGGCAGGTGGAGACTTCTTCCAGATACTCAGGCACAGTGCACTTAGGCTGGAGGCTGCAGTCTTCTTCCTTCATTACTTTAGGAATGTCACTCCTCTGGAGTGTTCACTTCTGTACAGTGACTACAGATTCCTGGGTTAGGCAAAACTAGTACCTGGAGAGAATTTTATACATTGTGCCATCTCATCTTCCTCCACCCACTTCCTGGTCCTTGGTTATCCTGATCTGAAAATAGTACCAGATCTGGAACCCTTCTAAGGGCTGTTAAGATCCCTGGAGGTTCTTAACAAATTCAGAGATTTAGAAGAAACTCAAAATGAAACACACATTTCTCAACACCATTTGTTCTGTAATCTCCTCACTGTGCTCACAACTGCCATAGTGGTTAGTAAAAGATTTATGAAAGTCTCAGGTGGGGTTCAGTGGCTTACACCTGTAATCCCAACACTTCAGGATGCCAAAGCTGGAGGAACACTTGGTCCCAGGAGTTTGAGACCGGCCTGGCAACATAGCAAGACCCCATTCCTACAAAAAATAGAAAAATCAGCTGGGCGTGGTGGCACTTGCCTATAGTCCCAGCTACTCAGGAGGCTGATGCAGAGAATCACTGGAGCTCAGGGATTTGAGGTTGCAGTGAGCTATGATAATGCCACTGCGCTATAGTGAGCATTGAAACTTGGGCAACAGAGCGAGACCTTGTTTCAAAAAAAAGAAGAAAGCAAGTCTCAGATCCTATGGTTTATGGCCAAGGATAATCAGATTTTTAAAGAATCCATCCTTACTAGATTTTGAGTTCAAGACAAAGCATACAAATATTTTGAAAATATTTGCTGAGCTCCTTTTTCTATTTTCTCATGGGTGTCTACCATTTATGAATTTTAAGGTCTTATGGATCATTTTCCTCATCGTTTCTGGATTAGTTTATCAATTTTCATGTTGCTGTATAAAGACTAAGTCAGGAGCCGCATTTCTAATTAGGTACACAGCAAGATCATAATCCCCATAATGTTTGATATTGTTCACTGATATGTAAATTCAGTACTTTTTAAGTGCAAATACTTATGTTTCATATAATTTGTGAAAGGAAGAGACAAACAGCTATTTTATTTCACTTCCTCATATAATCTTCTCTTTCCTTAATATCTGATTTTCTGTATCCATTATAAAAGACTGAATTGTAATTATAAAACAGCATGGGCCAGAAAGAACTTCCCAGCAGGTCCTTTGCACCTTTGAGTAGGATGTGTTTTTGTTATGCCTTTTTTGTTTTGTTATGTCCTTTTTCTTTTATGTGTTTTCAGATTTTTTTTTTTTTTGAGACAAGGTCTCATTCTGCCACCTAGGCTAGAGTGCAGTGGTGTGATCATAACTCGGTGTAACCTCAAACCCCCAGGCTCCAGTGATCCTCTCACTGTGGCCTCCCAAAGTGCTAGGACTATAGGTGTGAGCCACCACTCTCAGCCTATTTTCAGATTTTAATAGTGAGGATGAATTAATTTTATAAACAGAAATATATGCCTATTCATCGTAGGGAGGGAGAGAAGATTCTTTGAGAAGAAAAATTTCCTCTCATGTAGAGTCCTGTCCAGGAGACCAGAAGGGGAGGGTGAAGAAGGACCTGACACCAAGAGAACACACAGTCCACAGCAGTTCTGAGCAGCCAGTCCCACCAAGTGCTTTTGAATGTACCAAGGAAAGGTCTAGAGTGCTTTTGAGGAAAACAAAACACTGAAGAACCAAGTGAGGGGTCAAGGAAACAGGGACAAAGTGAGAGATGAAGAAGAGTTATGACTCCAGATATAGTACAGGACTGAGAAAATACCACACAGAGCCAGGTTTCTGCAGAGTTTTTTTAATTTGAGGGTGATGAGAATGAGCTTAAAGTTGGGCGAGAAGAAAGCCCATCATCCAGAATAAAAGGACATCCCTGCCCAGGTGCCATGACCTGAATGCACTAAGGGACAGGCACCAAGGAAGGCTCTGGTAGGGTCTGACCCAGAGGGGTTTTGGGACCCACCATCATGGAGATGCCCCTCTCTTCATGTGAGGTGAGATTTCTGCTCTCTCTCTTTCTTCAGAGCTTCTACAAGAGAACTACTTGGTGGCAGAGAAACAAAGGAGGACTAATTAGTGATGGGACAAGTTTAACAACGCATGCCTATATTAGAGGAGAAAGGAGGCTAAAGTGGACCTAGAGAGTCTTACTGCCAGTTCCTGCTTTTTTAAAACCTTCAGGATGGGGAAAGGATAGATGTCAAAACTTCTGGGGTTTGCTTTTTTAGGGGCATGGGTAGTCTGAACCATCTACCCTGAAGTATGATTTTCCTCTGGAATAGATTGGAAAAAATCTGATATTTCAGGATAAGAGAGTTGGGGAGATATGTTTTCTTTCCCTTAATTTTCACACACACACACACAAACACACATGCATATACATGCAAGTACACTCCCACATATCCATTCACACACACACATGCAGCTACACACACATGCACAAGCAGCTGCTTGGGTAGTACTGGATGGTTTGGTCACATGGAGGTTGGGTAGAAAGAAGTGTGGAGCAAAGATGGATCCTTTGTTAAACATGTCTTTCAGGTGATAAGCAGGGTGGTGATTTCTCCCAGTCACTAGCCCTTCCTACTGGGTATTAGTGTGTTTTATGTACTCTAGGATGTCCGATTTGACTGTGCTGATGGGAGCCCGGTGGAACCAGCGCATGACAGGGACTCCACTGGGCCCCACCAGGAACTTCTCAAAGTTCCAGCGGATGTCATGGACCTTCATGGGCTCCCAGAAGAGTTGGCTTGATGAGCCCAAAAGATCAGAGGTTGGAGGGCAGGAGTTCTGGGGCACAGACATAAAAAATAGAAAGATAAGTTTATTTTTACTTCCGTGTGGTCTGGTCTTATCCCCACTCCTAGAGAATCTACTTACCGTTATATATCTTAATATATTAACTACTAACATGCTTCCAATCAACCACAGACATTGCAATGTATTATCACCAATACACCAACTACCAGTCAAACCACCAAAAGTTATAGAGAGTATAATAGTGAACAGAAAGCATTCCTCCTTTCCCTGTCTCTCCTCCATCCCCGTGATTTTATCATGGTGCTTCAATAAAAGAATATCTTCTGTTTCCTTGGGCAAGTCATATCATTTTTACAGTTTCAGTTTTCTTAGCTGAAAAATAATAGGTTGGTTTAGAGTAGTGGTTCTCAGAGTTTGGGGCTTCCTAGGCCAGGAAAATTTCAATAATGAATTTTTGGAGAATAATGTAGAATAATTAACATTCATTTTGAACAATGAGAATAATTAAAAGTTTACTATAACCATAAATTCAAAAAATGAAGGATTTTTAATTAGGTCGAACCACATAAGATTGATGATAGCACCATTTTTGAGCAACTAAAAAGGCAATATACATGGTTAAACCTAATAGTAATTTAGTATCAGAATAAATGCTGGTCTTATATTCAATAAGTTGAGCTTTATGAAACCTCCCCACATTGTTCCTTTTTTTTTTTCCAGTTTGTTGTGGAAGGGTAAATATTTGAACAGTGGCCAGTCTTGTTCTGCAGATCAGCATTTGGGGATGGGTGGACTAAGAAATCCTTGGGGGCCCTTCTATAGTGGTATTCTGTGTTTCTAACACTCTGTGACTCTAAAGTCACTTACCACATGGTACTCTATATTATCCATGTCTATGTATGTCTCCTGATTACATGTGAGTTCCTTCAGGGAAGAGACTATGCCCTATTGATCTTCGTTAGCTCATTGTATAGCACAGTTCCTTGCACATAATAGAGACTTGAAAAATGATTGTTCAATGAATGAATCATTACCATTCATTAGGGGAGGTTAGTCCATGTCAGAGCTATCATCCATTATGAGTGTCCTCTACTTAAGGCCAAAGCCTCACAAGAGATATTGCCATGATTCTTGAATTTATCTGAGCATCTCTTTTCAAGGAGTCCAACCGCAGTCCTAGACATGAGCCCCACTGCTTTCAGGGCATCTCTACCTGACCAATCCATGCCAGATTTATGTTCACTCACCTTAAGGAAAGTAAAGACCTTCTGTTCATTTTCTCCATTCACATCCCCTTTTTCAAAGAGCAGGAAATTGGGGACAAAGCCTCCACCTGGACGCACGTACCTTCAATGAATCAGAGTATTCACAAGAGGATCCAAATTAAGACCAAGACGGAAAGTAATGGCACCACCAATTCACCACAACAGCTAATCAGAGATAGAGAGAGATTGTAGACAGGGAAGGTGAGGAAAGACAGATCTTGGGGAACCAGGACTTCATGCAGTAGGCGTTATGGAGCCAATAGAAAATTCCAATAAAATTGAAAGGCAATATTTTAGCTTGGGCTTCCTGGCTCATTTCCATTTCCTATATTCCCTTCTTCCCTTGTGCTCCTTTTCCATTAGATCTTCCCTTAGTCTCACCATCAAAAAATCCAAAAGTAAAGAGGATATTTTAGCACTACCAAAAGGACTGGATTGAATTCAAAGCATCATGGTGATATTCTTCAACCCATCAATCTGCCACTACCACCCCAGAGGTTTCCACAATGAAAAGGCTTTTAGGCAGAATGAGGAATGGAAATCCTGACAGGGTTTCTGCAGGGTCCCACACAGGCACTCACTTGAGCCCAGAAAGGATCTCTGAGTTCTTTCCTGGTTCTTGTTTTCCAAACTGGTTGCAGGGAAAGCCCAACACAATGACACCAAAATTCCTCAGTTCCTCCTGTAGTGCATTCAATTCTGTAAGTAGAGAATGAATAGCATGGGTAGCCTGGTCAGAAGCTCTACCTCAAGCAGTGAAAGACCATTTATCCATTTATCACATGAATAAACTGAGGAGTATGAAGGGAAAGATTCAAGATTATAGAGATTGAGGGGGTGGAGCAAAAACTAGAAGACCAGTTTCCAGAAACTCATCCAAATGGCTGCTGTTTTTCTTGTGTGGTAGTTCCCATAACTAGCTGCACTTTACCACCCAATGGGAATTCTTATTAAAACACACACACACACACACACACACAGATTGGTTAGTCTTGTGTGAGAGTCCTGCTTGATTCTGAAGAATCCTTCCTTAATTGGTGGATTGACTGACCAAATGTACTGTTAAGGAAAAGGCAAACAAAATGGACACACTACCTTCCCCTTCTCCCAATGTCCCATGATGACAAAAGCTGACACTCCAGTCACATTCCCAACAGCACTGTTTGGTGCTCCACCCTAGGAGGGGTAGAGGGAATCAGAGAAATTCCGAGCCTACCTCCAGAGAATTCTCTACCCTCTCATCAATTCCAGGGACCTAACTGATGCCATTTCCCTGGAACATTCCCTGGGACTCCAGGCTACAAACTCCAAACTGCTCTTTGTCACTACCAGGAAGCCTTCTGACTTGTCTGTCTAGACTCACCATTATTTTCATCTCCAGCTTTTTTCAGTTCAGATTTATTCAGTCCCCAAAAGCAGCACCAGCCAGTCTCAGTGAGACTCAGCTCTGTCTGCTGGCGTCTCCCCTCGGAACCTCTTCTAAAATGGATAGTGCCTTCCTGTTTTTACATAGTTCTTCAGTACTGTCCATACTCACCTCCTTCTTATCTTTGGCCATCAAGAATATTTCCTTTCTATAAGAGAAAAACTTACCAAACTTTGACTCTAGTCCTTCAGCAATTTTTTTTTTAACTCTCTAAATTTCCTCATCTGGAGTAAAATTTGAATGAGATGCTCTTTAAAATTCTCATAACCTAGTTTAATAAATTATATCACAGCAACACAATGGAAAACTATGCCTTAGGAATGAATGAGGAAGCTTACCACATACTTTTGCAGATTAATGTCCAGGATATTTTATTATGCAAAAAAGCAAGGTACAGAATCATTTGTGTGTGTGTATTTGTGCTTGAGAGAGAGAAAGAGAGAGGAATATTTGCTTGTATATGCATAAAAGATTTCTGGAATTTTACACCATAAACTGATGACATTGGTCACCTAAAGGGAAGGATACATGGAAGGTGCCACTGTTAAACCCTTTCCTATCTTTTGAATTCTGCATGTTGTAAATATATTACTTATTCAACACATAACAAATTTAACTTAAAACTAAATTACATTGAAACAAATTTAAAAGCAGATCACATCCCTTGGAACTGCTATTTACACATCACAACTTTTAAAATTTACCATATTTTTCAAATTTAATTTTCTGAAGGGAGGAAAATCCCTACTTGCTAAATGATACTAAACTGCTGTTTGGGCTCTTATAATTAGGTCCTGAGGTTTTATAAAAATTTAGTCTATAGCTTTTCAGGTTTTCCCTAGAGTTGATTATTCATAAAAATAAAAAATATAAAGTGACCCCAAAATTCTTTTAAATGTGTGGATCTTACCCCAATCTGTACCTTGAAGAAATATTTTTTTATACATAAGTTCACCATTAAATTGAAAAAATCTTTAGCTTCTCTTGGTAATGTGAACAATTTGTCTTTTGTTGTGCTTTGCTTGAGTGGTTATTTTAATATAATTTTTGCCTAAATCAAGCAGCACTTTCTGAATGCTAATTTTAAAATGTCAATATTTGGTGAACCATATATTTTAGATGCAAGATTATAATATGCTTAAATTTAAGTGATATTTAAAAAGGAGAAAATTCTGAGATTTGTTATTATTGAAGCTCCATTAAGATAAATGATAGGACTTTATATTTTTGATCAGTTGAATTGATAGCAACGTCAATATGTGGAAAATTTTTCTTAAAGCTTGTTTATATATTACTTTGATCTACTTTTCTATGACATTTGGTGTAATAAACCTTTTCAATTTATCTTGAACAGTGCTTAAAAGCATAAAATAAAGTTCTTGGCCTGTCAAAAACTGCATCTATCTCTAGTATAACGAATCTAGAACTTTAGCTTTTTTGGATCAACAGGAATACCAAACTCTTCCTTAATGAGTGCACAGAAAAAATGGAAAACGTACCTCAGCCGCCATAGAAGGTTAGGCCACATTTGGAGAGATGGAGCATTCTCCCATATTACCAGTCACTCTAAAGAGCCCTCACACCAATCAAACAGAAAACTTCATTTTTTTCTCCTCTGTTATTTGGAGGTGCCTACAGAACCTAAGAGCATTTTCCAAAAGATCAAAGATCAATCCTCTCTCCTGTTGTTATCAGAAGTCACCAGGGAGAAATATAAAATCAACCCCTGAAAGCTAGGTTATGGTCTGGGAGTGACAACTAGGCTTTGGCATTCTGGAAACAAACAGTTTCATAGAACAATAATATCACACAACACAAGACCATGATGAATCAAGACAAAAATAAGACCACTCCATAATTATGGCTGAACACTGACAAAACACGAACATTGTCCAAATCACAAGAATGACGAAGCATCACCCTATTCTTTTTTTTTTTTTTTTTTGAGACAGAGTCTCACTCTTTTTGCCCGGGCTAGAGTGAGTACCGTGGCGTCAGCCTAGTTCACAGCAACCTCAAACTCCTGGGCTCAAGCAATCCTTCTGCCTCAAGCCTCCCGAGTAGCTGTGACTACAGGCATGTGCCACCATGCCCGGCTAATTTTATATATATATATATATTTTTAGTTGTCCAGATCATTTCTTTCTATTTTTTAGTAGAGACGGGGGTCTCGCTCTTGCTCAGGGTGGTCTCGAACTCCTGACCTTGAGCAATCCACCCGCCTTCGGCCTCCCAGAGTGCTAGGATTACAGGCGTGAGCCACCGCGCTCGGCCCATCATTCTTTTTTTTTTCTTTTTTGATCATTTTTAATTTCATTCATTTAAAATGTCAAATATCTATAATTTTAATGTATTCTGTTTCTTATATTTAAAAATAAAGAATAGAATGTTGAAAATGAATCATTTCAATGAGATCAATGAAGACTCAAAATCTTATAGTATCATCCAAAAACATGTAAAACAGATTTAAAAATACACACTACTGAAATTGGCAAGTTGAAAGGGAAATACATATAAAGGGTAAACACCTTTGAAAAGGAGCAGCTATGTACAGTCCTCAAGAGTGAAATTTCTCATTAATGCATATGAAATATTTCTACTTTCTATTCCAAACCTTATTCTATTTCTACCTCTATACCAAATCCTAAGAAAGTTGGCTTGAATTGTTTTTTACAGTGTTACTTTGAATCTAAAAATAACTAAAATTTGAGAGCCGGGAGAAATTTTAACATTTTTTTCATCGTTCATGGTTTAACATTTAATGAACAAATTCTTCACTGAGCTTACGTGGGAAGGGTCTGGTGGTGAAAAGACTACTTCAACTGGATAGATTAAAATATGAACAGCAAAGCAAGAATCTAGGGATCTGGGCCAGGCTCGGTGGCTCACACCTATAATCCTAGCACTCTGGGGGGCTGAGGTAGGAGGATCGCTCGAGCTCAGGAGTCCTAGACCAGCCTGAGCAAGAGTGAGACCCATCTCTACTAAAAATAGAAAGATTAGCCAAGCCTGGTGATGTGTGCCTGTAGTCCCAGTTACTTGGGAGGCTGGGGCAGGAGGACCGCTTGAGCCCAGGAGCTTGAGATTGCAGTGAGCTGTGATGACACCATGGCATTCCACTCAGGGCAGCAGAGAGAGACTCTGTCTTTAAAAAAAAAAAAAAAAAAAAAAGTGGGAATCTGGTAGGGACATGTAAAAAAAAAATATGGAACGCTTCACAAATTTGTGTGCCATCTTTGCACAGGGGCCATGCTAATCTTCTCTGTATTGTTCTAATTTTAATATAGGTGCTGCCGAAGCAAGCACCATTATTCTTGCCAATATGAGTGACTACTGCTTCTTTACCAGTTATAGCTTTAGCCTTAGTTTCTCCCACCATGTAGATACAATTTGCAATATTAAGATACCCAATCACATAATTTTCTTTATTTCCTGATGGCATCCAATCCAGAACAAAGCTTCGATTTCTTAAACCCTTTCCCAAATCACCTAATACAGGCTCAGATCCTATTAATATAATAAGTCCCTTCTAACACTTTCTTACTGAGAAGCCCCAGTATGTGTTCCCTACACTGTATGTTCTCCTTCAGGGCACTCAGCAACAATTCAACTTGAGCAACTATTGGTGTGTTGCTGATAGTCTTTGTGACTAAATCTTTGGGAAAGTCTTAGTTCTCAAATCCAGAGATAATCCCCCTGACATTCTAAGGAGCAGAGAAGGAGCAAGATATAGGAAAGTAGAGTCACCTGATCCCTTCTCCCACCCTACCCCCCAATAATGCATTAGTAAAACCTTCTGGAATTAGAATATGGCTATCTGGTAAAGCTAGTTCTGCAAGAGTTGAAACATGAGTTCTTACCACGATACTGAACTGTCAAGCCTCAATAGGTGGCCACATTGACAAAGAGGACGTTCATGCCTGCATACTGCTTGAACTGGATGTACTCGCCATCAAGGGTGAGGGCTCCATACTCATAGATGGTGCCTGTCACCCCTTTGTTGCAATCCATCTGGAATGTAATAAAAATAACTGTAATGATATATGATAAACAATAATTCCCAATATCTGCAGACTTTTTCAAAGCACTCAAAGACCCATCATGTAATATCTTGAAATTCTAAGAACTGAGGAGACCTTTACAAGTGTAAGTTTTTGTTAGAACTGAGGCCACAGTGAGCATTTATGTCTTCTAATTTACAATCCATTTTGTGTGTGTGTGTGTCTGTGTGTGTGGCAGAACAAGTGCTCTTCATAATATTGTTTACATTAATACAATTTACCTCCATTCTCTGACATTCTATTCCCCAATCACAATAACCCATTCCAGTCATCCCATCCTTTCTCAGATATTATTAACAGATTTTTGCAAGATTTCTCATGACATAAATAAGTGTTCCATAAATTCCTCATCTGTATGTTCTGGTATTATAATCCCTCCACCCAAAGCTGGGCCCAAAACTTGCTTTTCCTCTGGATCCCATTGAAGGGCCTTTCCCGGCTTGCCAATGGGGTGCTCACTGGTAACTACAAAACTCATCCTCAATACCCACTTCTTCTCAGGCCTATATTGTAGAGAAACAGTCTAGAGGAAAAACTTTCTATCCGCAAACATGCTAAGAAAAAAAGGCAGACAGAACCTGGAACTAAAGGCCAAGATGTAATCTGGTAAGATAGGTCAGATTCCTGGCCATATAGAGAAAAGTCACAGAATTTTAGAGCAAATTGGGCTTCAAGGAGTCTCTGTCTGTAAAGGCTTGTCCCATGCAGTGAAGGAATTGCCTATGGGTGAACTTCCATGGGGAGAGTGGGGTGAGAAACTCTTTATCATCTTATAAGTCTATAGGTTCTGTCACCAGGACTAGCTTCTTCTTTACTATCCTGCAGAGAAGGAGGCTTGCCCTAGGGCAAGCCCTTTCCCTATGTGTGCATACATCTGTACACATGTGTGCATATACATTTGTCCAAATTATTGGGAATATTAGTCTAAGAAACGCACTATGATAGGTTGTCATCTATGTACCTGCATTCTCTTTGCCTTCGTGTCACCTTTCTAGCCTTTGCCTTTCTTGCTACTGTAATAAAAAGTCAGATGGAAATCATCGTGTGGACTATCATTTGTGTGTTTTCATTTTCCTTGCCTTAGCTCTGGGCTCAACAGCTTCCAAAGTTGGCTTCTCACATGGATATCACCCTATGAACTGGGATGCAGACTCTTTAAAAAACTGCAGACTTGAAGAGCTCAATCCTTCCTATCTGGCTTTCAGTTCTGTTCCCATTTGCTTAGGTCTGTTCGAAGAGGTCAGGATACCATAGAACACAGCTTTTCATTCACAAGATGATTTTCTCATCAGGAATTCCATACCCAACCAGGCAGTGTAGACCTGGGTGCCCCTCAGAGGTTGTCCTATCAAGTGAGCTGTGACCTTAATACAGCCACCAATCTTTGAACATTTTATGTCATCTTACACTTCACATAAGCCAATAACAGAGATTACAGCACAAAGCTCAGGTTTGGGGACCTGGATGAGTATGTACTGGGAGCATGTTAGAAATGTAAATTCCTGAGCTCCCCCTAAGACCTACTGAATCAGAAACTCTAGGGGTGGGGCCCAGGAATCTCTGCTCTAACAAGCTCTCCAGGTGATTCTTATGCAAATCAGGTGTGGGAATAACCGCATTATATGATGGCCATTGTTCTCCACCTTTTACAGAGGAGAGAAAGGGGCCAATAAAAGATGTATAACTGGCTTACTGCCACCACTGAGGCCAAGTTCTTGAATGAGTTTGTTGGATTTTAAAGTTAAAATTTGTTGGTGCCTCAGGCGATCTACCGGGTCCTACCCTGCAACCTAAGACAAATCTTTTACAGAAGTGGCTAACGACATCCACTATAGGAACTTTTCTGAATGGCATCAGATGATTTGGAGCAGCTCCAATATCTGAGAACAAATCCTCTGATCTGAGCATTGTCTCCACCTCACCACATCACCCGCCCTAAAATTAATCTTGGAGGACAACCGACCTGGCTTTATGTATTGTATTATTCCCTGATAAAAAGCTCCTCATTCCCTGACCTTGAAAATTCTAGAGCACATTCCAGCACCAGTTTCTCGACTTTCTCCTTCTGGGTTTCTGGCTGAGCAGGCTTTTTCCAAGAGAAACCAGGTCAGCTTTCTTTTCAATCCATTTACTACATTATGCCTCATTTCCCAGGATCCACAGTACTGCACCAAGTTACAGACCACCATGGAGGGGACAGGCTCTGAGCTATCAAGGGACCAGGGGGAAGTGGCAAAGGAGAATGAACCAAGGCTGTCATCGCCAAACACACATTCAGTTTAAGAACCACTAGGTGCAGAGAAGAAGATGGAAATAAGAGAGTTGGTTTAAGGAGAGTCTCTGCTGCAAACAACAGCAGTGTCAGAATTTCTGAAGCCGGGTGGGAACGGTGGATCTTGTCCTTCAGAAAGAAGAGGAAAGGAGAGAACTCCTCAGATCTCTGGTAGCCAGGTTAGTTAAATCAGCCTGGATCCCCTGCGGGACACTCACCTTCATATTTTCTGGCTTCAGAGTCTGCTGAGTGAAGCCGACCAGGAATAGGGGAAAAAGACAGGAGGCCCAGAACTGCAGGATCATGGCTCCTGCTAGGAGGTCTAGGCAAGTCCAAGGTCCCCAGGGATCTCGGACGCTTTTGAGCCCCTGGCAGGGGCCAGTTTGAAGATGTGCCCTCCAATCGCAAAGCCGTATTCAACCACCCCATGGGCTCCCCAACCCCACCCCTGCAGCCAGACGTGGGACTCACACGTGTTCTGGCAGGAAGGTGGAGACTTTCGTCTTTGGAACCTGAGGTACTCACCCTACTACCCTCTCCAAGTGATTGGCAGTTCCCAGGTGCTTGCCCCATATCCAGGAAGTAAAGCCACCACTACTGAATCAGAATCTGCTTTTTGAAAACAAAACTATCATGTAACGTATATGCAAACTAAAGTTTGAGAAGCATTGCCCTAGATGACTATTTATCCTTTGTCGTTTCCCCTCACACTTTTATCACTCAATAGAACACTGCATTGTGTAATCAGCTCTGGAGGTCTAGTGTCTCAGACACTTTGCCAAGCATTCTGTCCCCTGGCCTGCAAGCAGAAGTAGCACAAATGACGGATGCACATTCACAGTGGAAAGTAATCAGGGAGAAAACTCTAAACTGTGAGTCAGGAAACTGCCCTGGGCTTGAGTTTCATCCTCTATAAAGGATTGTAATCATCTGTGCCCTGATTATTCTATAATCCTATTTCTTGTGAGGCCCTAAGAAGATAAAGATAACAACCAGAAAGATGTTGGGAAGTATTTGGATTAATAAAGAGACACAGAACTGTTTTCCCTGGCTACCGGCTCTCCCATTCTGCAACCATCCATCCAACTTTTCATTGTCAGCTTAGCTTTACTAAACTCCCTTGTAATTGAAGTGAAAAATTCTTCCTCTTCAGTTCTAAGCCTCTGGTCATCCAGCCCCTTCCACCTGCCCTCCCCCTTCCAGGTTCATACGAAAGGCCTTTTCTGCCTCTAGGAACTGAAGTCTGGGTGGGATAAAATTTGTGTGAAATTTAGTGGAAGACAAGCTTTTTGTTATCTCAGATTTCTGAGTTCTCAGAAGCCTATAATCTGTGGCCTAATCACTGATACCTGATCCAGCCATACAGGTCCCCAGGACCTTTAGGGTAGCCATGTAGAAGACTTTCCTCTTACCTCACAGACCTACGCACATTCCTAAGCTCTTTAGCATTCTCTTGTTCTCAGTTCACAAAATGGCCAAATCTTTCACTATGAGGCTTTAGAGACCAATGAGTTCAATGCCCATCTGTGCTACTGACTACTGCTTGACTTTGAAAAAGTTAATGTCTCTGTCCCCAGTTGTCTCATCTGTGAAATCAGGGTAATAATATTATTTACCTTGTAGGGCTGCTGTGAGAATTAAATGTGATGATAACTCTAAAGCACATACCCCAGGGCCTGACTCAGGTAAGTATCTAGAAGTGTATTCACACAGCTTCAGGGATGAGACAACTGAAGTTCAGGATTTTATTTTTAGTTCACAAGTTGACATGTTAAATTGAAACACTGGAATTGATAGTAGGAGAATGTACTTTGCTTTGTGTGAGACGAATTGTTTGAGATTAGAGACAAATGTGCTCTCTCTCTCTGATTCTAACTGATGCTATTTGCTTCTGTAACCGTGCTTGCTTTTAGTTGTTTGTTAAATATAGTTAATCAGAATGAAAAACAGGAGTAAGAGCAGGAGTGACTCCATGACAGGCTGAACTTCCTGGAGTAGGCCTAAGTTTCAATTTCCCCGAAATGACACCGCCCTTTCCCCCGAAATGATGCTGACCAGAGCTGACGCCAGCGTGAAAATCCCGAGGCTTGGAGCCACTTTCAAAGGAACCAATCAGGAGCCAACACAATCAGCCACTTTTAAAGGAACCAATGAACTAAGGAGGGGAGGGGGAAAGGTGTGCCCAGTGTGCTGTGTGAAACCTGTGTGCCGTGTGTAAAAGGTATAAAAGCTTAACTTTTACCCCAGGGCGGGGTCCGATCCTGAAGAGGCCACTGCGTTGGTGCTCTGGGACTTGGACCCTGGTTTGAGTTGGCCAATAAACTCCTTTGCCATTTGCAGCCTCGGTGACTCTGCCTCTCTGTTCCTGGGGCCGAGGGGAACTGGCTCTAACAAAATTAAACATCACAAGTCTACCTCTAATGAACTTGGCACCCATCCATATCTCCTTAAACCATACTTAATCTCCAAATGAACACAATAACAAGGTTGAGCCCAGGAGTTTGAGAGTTTGAGGTTGCAGTGAGCTATGATGACGCCACTGCACTCTAGCCCCTGTAACAGAACAATACTCTGTCTCAAAAAAAAAAAAGTACACTCTTTTAGATACTATGCAACAATTAATAGAGTCCAAGATGACATTTTCTTCAGTGTCTTTGAAACATTATTATTAATAGTTAGCTTATTATTATTTTTTATTTTTATTGGGTCACTTTTAACTTAAGGTGAAGTAAATAACCATCTAAGTTTACAAGAATTACTATATGATGTTGGTGCCTATTTTTGTCTACCCACTCAGGCAATTGATGTTTTATATCTTAAGTCTATCATTTCTCTTATTAGCTATTTTTGTCAACTATCAATGATCTATACATTATTTAATCAGCATCCCTTTTGTGTCTTCCACTAAACAAATTATAAATTTGTAGGGCAGAAAGAAACCAAGTGCAGAACCCTCCACCCAGACCTAGAGTTTAATTTACTCCTTATTTCCTTAATCAAGATGCTTGTGGTTGATTTTTGATAACCCATTTTGCCATTCTGTGCTCAGCACCCACATATGTTTATAAATCATCTGTTTAAAATATGTCCTAAAGAATAGCAATAGCTCCAAGTAGAACTTGTTCTTAAGCTTCTGAAGTTTATTTCCCAACTTAAGAAATCCAGGACATTTGCATGCCTGTCAAGATGTCTGGCATTTGCGGTTATAGGCAGGAATGGTCCTCAGCATGTGTATGCAGATATATGCATACCAGTTGTTGGAGCCCAGCATTTGTTCTGATTGGTTGTGCCCAGATCATACTATTAAATATTTTATTTTATTTATTTATTTTGAGACAGAGTCTCACTCTGTTGCCCAGGTTAGAGTGCTGGGGCATCAGCCTAGCTCACAACAACCTCAGTCTCCTGGGCTCAAGTGATCCTTCTGCCTCAGCCTCCCGAGTAGCTGTGACTACAGTTGCACACCACCACATCTGGCTAATTTTTTCTATTTTTATTAGAGATGGGGTCTTGCTCTTGCTCAGGTTGGTCTGGAACTCCTGAGCTCAAGTGATCCTCCTGCCTTGGCCTCCCAGAGTGCTAGGATTACAGGCATGAGCCACCATGCCCAACTATTAAATATTTTAATGTCACCTTTAATTGCAGAACAAAAGCAGATAACTTAAGGTTTTAATTTTTTATCTTAAGATCTACTTGTCTGTGTGATGTCCATACTTCACATAGAATAAGTGGATGGCTTTTATTAATATCTCAGATTTAACTTTAAATTCTTTTCATCCTGCATTTTTTCTTTTTTTAAGTTTAAATATGTATTTTTCTTAATGGAGAAGGAAGAAGCAAAGTACATGCTAAATAGCATTGCTTTATCATTGTGAAGGACTTACATAATTTTCCTCAAGTTCTGTATTTATCTCTCCCTTGTTCTTTTTCTGCTGTAACTTAGCTTGCACGTGCATTCGTGCACATATTCACAAGAAGTTTTAGGTAGGGATGGCGTCAACCAAAGAAATGATGAGGTTTATAAATTTGGAAAGGAGAGCTTTAATTCTCATAAAGGATTGCAGCCTGCAGGCTGGCCATCTTGCAGGCTGGGAAGCAATAGCCCTAGGCAGGAGCCGAGAGCATGTACTTTGAGAAAGTGACAATGGGAACAGGAATTTATGCTGAGCAGGGTGGCCAAATATACATATTCAACAAGCTATAGGAGGAGTCATGAATATTTATGAAAGAGAAACATGTTCCTGTGCAATGGAGCTTTATGCCCCTTTATGGGGTCTGTGTTCAGAAAATGGTGGCCCTCTGATGTAAAAGGTAAAGCAGAGGATGTGAAAACCCTCTCCGTGCATACTTCAGAGACTGGTTGAAACCACTCCATGGTTGGCAGTCTCTTATCAGGAAAGAATGCTGGTTAGTTGCAGAGCTGGAACCACAAATAGGGAGGAGTAGATCACAAGATTAGTTTCTGTTTAGCCCTTAAGGAAAAAAGCCTGATGGCCAATGATTAGCAAAAAAAGGGTTATAATGAGGTAGTGTCTGACCTCCCAATCCATCATGACTGGGAATTCAGTTTTAAGGTTCCTCCAGGATCCTCTTGGCTGAGAAGGAGTCTGTTCAGTTGGCAGGCATCTTAGAATTTTGTTTTAATTCACACTGCTCACAGTGGAGGCACAAATTTCTAGGAGATCATGCATCCTCCTGTGGAAGACAGGGACTATGCTATGCAGCAAGCACAGCATCCATGGCATGTAGTAGATTTTCTATTAACTTACCTTGAATGAAAGATTAATCATTCCTTAGAAGAGACAAGTTTTGAGCAATGGCAGCCCTTGCTACCTGCTGTTCCAGTGATGACTTTAGAAGGTTTTCTTATCAACTGAGTCCCTGATTCTGAAGTCACTGAATTTCATTCTTTCTCCTATATTTGTTCCCATTCCTACACTTTCTACCCCTTGCTATCTCCCATTACTCTCTCCTTTTCTCCCTCCCCACTGTGTATAAGGAAAAAGTTTGGATTTAGGATTTAAACAGATCTGGCTTTGAGTTCTTTCTAGCTATGCAATTTTGGGCAAGTTATTTAATTTTTCTGTGTATCAGTGTCTTTTTTATAAAAGAGCACAATAATAATGACTTTTTAAATAAATATTAACTAAGAATTTATATCCGGAAATGCCTGGTACATAATAAGGGTTCAATGAATGCTAATATAAGTACCCATTCTTTCTTTTTTTTTTTCTTTTTTTCATTTCCCTTCCTGCTCCATTCATCTCTCTCTTGTGTGTCCTCTAATCTGTTCTATTCCTTTTCT